AAGTTTGTATAAGCTTAATATTATTTTTGCACTGCGAATTAATTGAGCCATCTAGTTCTTTAAAAATCGATAATTAAAATTTTCTGCGAATCACAATTGTAATTGTATAATGTAATGATGGAAAAAGGAAGTCATTTTATCATGCAAACACGCATGGTATATTACCGCGGCTCATTATAAATTACATTAACATCATGCTAACGCGATGCTTTTGTAGTTTGAATACTGCTTAGTCCAAGGGCAGTGCCACGATCAAAGGACCGGTTTTGCACTCAATGCTTTTCACCGCACATAAATCTTGCCGTTTGTTCACCCGACCATAGAATGGTACCAGGAAGGTCAAAGGTTAAAATAATCGCCAAGTATTGTTAGTCATCATAATCCGCGTCTTCTTTCCTTTAAATTGAGACAGTTGTAACGTATCATGAACAACTTGAAATGAATTAGAGTTCTATATATTATGTATATTATTAAAAAAATTAGTTACACATACAAATAATACACAATAAATATTATAAATTTTTAAATTTTTATATTTTTTAATTCTCCATTAAAAAATTACTTTTTTTCTTAAAAAAATAATTTCTTAAAAATAACAAAATGTAATCAAGTGATGATTCGAAATATTTTTTCGAGATCAGCTTTTCATATGATTCCTAATTTAAAGAAATATAAAATTTTTAATTTTATGTGTTATTAAATGAACAAGAAAATAGCATTATTAAGATCATTATTTAATACTATTTTTCTTTTAATTTATACTTTTTGATACAAGAAGTATACAATTTTTAATTTTTTTAGCAAATATTAATGAAACATATTAATATAAAATTTTTGCTATTGAAATTCGAAATTCAGTTTAATTATTTAATATATATTAATTATACGTATATATATATGTATGGGTATATGAAATGAAAATTTATATTCTATTATTCATAAATTCAAATCTAAGAAATACGGGATAAAATAAAATCTTTTTATATTATTTTTTTTAAATGGATTAAAAATTATATAAAATATCATTTTAATATAAAAAAGAAGTGTGCTACATATTTCTATATAGAGAGCAGATTAAGTTTCGTCCGCGATGACGTCGGAGAAGAGGCAATTTATTGACCCGAATGGCTTTGGCCTAATTCAAGATGTTCCGCGCAGAAAAAGGAGAAATCGATCTTATTTGAAAATTTGTTGTTAGAACTCGAAAATTAATCGAAGGTTAATAGCCGTCGATCTCTGTAGAGATCACACTCTCTTTAAGAAAAGATAGCTTTGTTGCAAAAAAAGTTATATTACTTCTTATATTGCATAATATATTATATTTCTATCATTAATAGTAACATATTGATATTGATTATGATATTGATATTGATATTGATATTGATTATGATTAATCGTATTGTCTATACGTATCAAGCTGAAAAGATACAAAAATGAAACTTATGATCAAAGAATGTTGTTTCATTATCGAAATAATAACTGTTTAATTATAAACATATCTAAAAATTGAAATTTTTTATAATTTTTAATAAAAATTTAAGATAAAAATGGAAAAGCGAATAATGAAATTGTTGCAGAATTTAATTAAAATAAAAAAAAATATTATATATTTTAAAATCATTTTAATTAATATTTTTATCTAAATTTATTTAACATACACATTATACATTTTAATAATATTTTATTGCTTAAACGATTTTTAATAACAATTAAATATTATTTATTTTCAATTATATTGATTCTGTTATATATAATATTTATAATATTAATACAATCTAGACATAGAATATCAACGCAGATACTGTTAATTCTAGCTTTGACCCAATTTTAGACATCGTTGCTTATTGACCAAAAAAGGGCATTCAAGAATGCCTGGCTGTATATAAACCTGAAAAGGACTTGATTGGTCGACTTACCAATCCCTAAGGGTCTAATCATCAGAACTTAAGCGGAAGCCGTTCTTAAGATCGGATGCGATTAAAGTAAACTAAAAGGAATTATTGTCTCGTGAAAATCAAGTTAACGAAAGCTTTGTAATCCATACTAATTCGACTTTTAGACGAAATAGATTTAATCCTTCTTTATCAGAATCGCTTCTATTTATATTTCACTTGTTTTATAACTTGTGTAATTTTATAAATCATGTTAAGATTTTTATGTAAAGTATATATCTTGTTCCAGTATTGTCTTTTCCATTTATTTGTTGGAAAATTGCATTTAAAATTTGTTGTAAACTGAAAATGATTTTTGTTTTTGTTAAGTCATTGCATGTAGAATGAAGCAATTGGAAAGTTTTTTGTAAAATACTTTTGTGAATTAGGTTGAAAGCATTTGAACATAAATTGGTGGCAAACTGATGTATGTGTCGACGTTGAATTTTATGTTATGTTGTAGAGAAATAACTTATAATATAATTTAATACTTTGAAACTATATTATTGTATTATATGATAGACGTGACAATATATCATAATTTTCTAAAGAAATTTTTGACCGCTTCTTGTTTCTAAACTTTTTGAATTTTAATAGACTAAAATTACAAACTCGCACATTGAAACATAATCATTATAAATAAATGTATATCTACTACATCTAATTTTAATTGCTTTGTAATTACTAAAAAAATTATTTAAATATAAAACCGATATTTTTTGAAATAATTTATACATTAAAAAAAACAAACTTTTATGAAGTAAAATGTGAGTTGTTAAGATGTTAGTTGTCAATTTGAAATGCTTTTTATGCTTCTTACAACGGTTTAGCAAGAGAGATAACAAAAATAATTTTGTAAGAAATTAACGTGACATTTTGATATCTAAAGTAGATAACTGGTCTTATCGCTAAATTCTCACCTTAGGAAGTGTATCAAAGAATTATCTGATTGTGATTCAGCACGTTTGAAATAACTGTAATACTATTTTTCTCCTTGTAAATAAGAAAATAAATGAGAAATTTATTATTTTCTTTATCTTAACATAATTACTTATTCTGTCCAGATAATTATTCAATTTTATAAAAATCATTATCGAGTGGAAATTAATTACAGAATTAATTACTAAGTAATTATTGTAAAATTTTGCCTTAAATTTTATCACGAATTATAGATTAATTTAAAAAATGAGCTTTACATTATGCAAATAATTATATAAAAATATAAATTATGATTATAAAAATTTGAAAAGAGATAAATATACATAAAATAATAAACATGTCTTCTTGTATACATTTTTTGTGATATTTTAAATATTTCATTTAAACAAGATGTCTTGAAGATTTTATTCTATCATATCGGAAATGTGTAGAAGCTACGGGAAAGTATTGTGCGAGCTTATCTCTCAGGGGTCCTGTCAATATTTTTATTCATCGTACACCAATTGAGTACATACACGATGCATCGTCGCTCTCTTGTTACCCGATTTGAAATGGTGTATAAGGCACGAGAAGCCAGTTGCTCGTAAGGGTTTTCTCGGTCGCGATGTCACAGAGACATCAATATCGAGTTTCACGTCTGTTTCAAACCTAATTCGAAATGTTCTCTTGAGTTTCACGAATACTTGGGGGTTTCGGAAATACGATCGCTCCTACGGGTGTCGGTATCTAAAGATTCTTGCGTCGTGCGTGACATGTATTCTGTTTTTTCTAATATTCGATATATGAAGATAAAAAAAAACTTCTGAAAAATCTCTCTAAAGTCGATATTTATAAAAAAGAAGCAATTCTTATTTTATATCGCAAATATTTCTGAAATAATTTTGATAACGAGAATTAAAGAACAATAATTTGATTTTGTTTTGTTATTATTTATGTCAATATATACAAGTATGATACAAATATAATTTTTTTTATTTTCTGTACAAAAGAAAATTATAAATATCTTTCATAAGAATTCGTCACATTTATTTACAATGAATGATACAAATATCTATGAGCCAAATATAATTATATAAAGATATAATTCTTATGTAGAAGTGTAGAAAATTAAAGGGGATGAACATCACGCGCGTTTTTTTTTTCAAATATAGATTCTGTAAACATGTATTCATATTATACTATATGATAATGTTCTGAGAAAAGACTTTTCCATTTCGATCAAGAACTGAATCTGTTGGGGGAGGAAATGTTCCCTCGTGTGCGAAATATTCTTAATTGGAAAAAATATTTTGTCGGAAACTTTCCTCCGCGAATCGTCGTCGGTTATTCTTTTGCTACTTTATGCTACAAATTAAATATTTACGACTTTGCTTGTTTATAGAAAGTTATAAATCTTGCTTTTAATTGGATTTCTGAATAAATTTATGGTTGATTTATTTTCAATGAAGATTTAATTTACGTGATTATTTATAACATCATATTTTCATTATTTAATTTTTATTTTTAATTAATGTATTGAGAAATGTATATTCTCTTATAGTTATAGAATTTCAATTATTCATGTTCATTTCAACTATTACTACGATATGAATACGAAAAAATTAAATGTGTGATAATCTGTTTTTCGCTTGTCGAATCAATTGATTCGTACATTTTCCATACCATCTATCTTTAATGACATTTTTTCCTTCGTCGCTGATTTTGACGCCGAAAGCCTGGATTTCGCTCTTATGCGTAAGCTGTGAAATCCGTCGCAGCGAGTCAGATACAGTGGGACGCGCGCGGAAATAACGTTATGCAAACGAATGCTAATGTTAACCAGAATGTGATGGACAGGCGGTAACGGAAGAATATCCGCGCAAAATTTAAACCGTTCCAGGTTGGCGGAGTCTGCGCTTCATGAGATGCGCGAGCTGCTCGTCAATTTGTGGTTCACCGAGAACGTAACGCGGTCAATTTATTCAGAAAAGGGGATTATATCGGTGAAGGAAGATAATTCTTTCCCTGATTGTGACTCGTGTCGGAAACGCGATAATTTAACAAGGTAACACATGGATATGTGCTTTAATATTTTTTCATAACTGAGATTTTTTTACAATTCTTTGTGCGTTTCAAATCAAACGAGGCATTTTATTCGTCTTTTTCCGGATCGTACGGTAACGTACATCCGACTTGTCTCGAATACTCCACGATGATATCTTTGAGCCGTTTCGTTAGGATCACTTGATCTTCGACTCGCCGCATCAGCTGATTCTTTTCTACTTCTAAATCCTTGAATTCTTGAATTCTTAGCTGCTCAACGATGCGCGATCTTTCTACAGCTTTACGTGTCTCGTATATGACTACTCCCCACAAAAGCCCAAAGACTAATATCTTAAAAATTGAGTTTAATATCTGAGTTTTATTTCGCGAAAAATGTTAACAAATTAATTATAAAATTAATGTGTGTGTGTGTAACGCGCAAAACTTTCATGATTGTTATTATTACCTCGATTAATAATTTCGCTCCTAGCTCCATCGTGCGAATGTCATCAACACGCTTTTTTTTTGCTGAAATTCTTTGCAATACTACCTTGTCTTCGTACCAATAATATAAATGTCCCAGTTTAATTAGGACATATTTTTTTAAGAACGGTTGTTTCTTCACGTGCTTCACTATAAACTTTGACAATGGTTTCGTGATTTGTTTTAGGAGCTGTCCAATAAGATTCGCGCCAGGAAATTTTTGTATTACCATTGTATTACCATAAATATCTTACGTGTGTGCTCTCGAAGGAAAATAATTTAACGAAATTTGTTTTTATATACTATTGATGAATAATGAATTTCGTGTCGAATAATTATTATTAAGGGGAGAAAATGCTGATTCATCTCATTTACATGTTGACGTAAAACAGATTGAAACTGGGGTTAAGTTGGCCGTTTTCATATTATATGAAGATTTCAGCTCTTGACATTTATTCGTTTGTTGTCATAATTAAAGCTTTTAATTTAACCTTAATACTTTTAAAATCTATCTTTATTTTCTATTTTTATCGCCAGATTTCACTTCAATTTTATTTAATCCTGTTTTATCATTTAAATCCGTAAGGATTAATTTACATAATTTTTTTAATTAATGCATTAAAATGTGTTATCTATATTTCGATTTAAAACAAATTTGTCAATCTTTGAGTAGTCATAAGATGAATAATGCGCTTTGATTACAGAATGAATTCCAATGATATAGAGTACATGTAACTATGATATAATAGAATATACATAATATATTTTTTTAGAGCAAAACGCACAGCATAAACGCAGTTTCACTCAAGTATGCATACATGCGTGTGTTTCGTGTTCATTTATATCCAAAATCATGAAAAGAGTAACAGGTAAATATTTTTGAAATTTGAAAGATTATATATTGCGAATTTCTATACTTCATATGAAGATTTAAAAATATTATAATATTATTATACCTTCCATATAGATCAAATAATTAAACGGATTATCCCATATATATAAATATATATATATATATATATATATATATATATATATATACATATATATCAAAAAATTAAAGCTAACTTAGTTGAGTAATTTGCAATTGTAGCAAGTATCACTTCCGAATTTGAAAATGCCCGTACAACTCTTTTGAAAATTTTCATCAAAATGAAATATTATATTATTCTATTAATATGCAAATGTTTGTGCTCTGTTTAAATAACAGAGGAATATGAATATTAGGTTCATCATATTAATCATTTAAATCGCTTATAATTATGTAAAATACAATATAATAATAAAAAAATTATTTAATTATTTTATAAAAAATAAAATAAATTATTTTATAAAAAAATCTTTTTTATCATTATCACTTTAATAAACACGTGAATTAGATTTAGATATGTATATATTTAGAAGATATGTTTATATTCTCAGGCAGAATTTATTAAAATGCAGGATATATTATTTTTCATATCTCTACAAGATTTTATTGTCATTTACTTTTTTCTATCAAATGCAATTTTAGATTTGTAACATTACATGTTTATTTATACACTGAAATAATTAAAAGTTAGAGACAAAAAAAATTTACTTGTTTTTAAATCGAAAATCTGTGTGTTAAAATAATATTTCTTCCTTTTTTTAAAATAGCCTTTAAAATGGTCTTTTCCGTATGTTTCTTTTATATATATCTCGATATTATCTATTAAATTTACTATCAAATTTTAAATGACATAGTTGAGGCGTATAAAGTTCATCCTTTGTCAGAGATCCACTAGATTGATGCGAACCGCATATAATATCATGAAAAAATTTTTTTCTCGTCTCTTCTATATACCCTCTATAAATCTCTTTTATATAAGATATGCTTTTGCAATATTATGAATAATATTTGATGGAATTTTTAAAAATTAATAAATATGTATTTCCATTATCAATTAATTATAATAATAAAATTTAATTATAAGTTTAATATAATAATTTTGTTGCTTATTAAAATTAAAATATGATAGCAAAAACAAAAAAATAAATAAATTACTACAAAAAATTATATTCTGTGAATATTTTAATTCAAATACAATTTTTCTTACTTAATATGCATTTAATTATATGAAACAAGTATATTAAATACAGACAGGTGTAATGTAAAATGTGTACGTACTCGTATAAATCAATACATTAGTGCAGTGAAAAATATTCTATTCTTAAATTTCTCGATATTTTATTATTTTATATGTACAACAATGCCATTTATCTTCAAATTAAAAAAAATTAGGAAATATAACTATATAATATATGTTTCACTCGATGTGTTATCTTGCTTTTATAAGTTTTACAGTTCAAATTTCATTTTACAAATATTTTCAACCATATGATATACACAAAATTGAGATATATATTTCTTTGATAAGATCAAATAGATTTATTGACACACACACACACACACTATTACATATAATATTTTAAGTAGATAATACCTGGATGAAAATCTTTTCTCAGTTAGATTTAGGGGATTTTTCGGTTCCATATTTGGGAAATAAAATGTCTATTTTATCCTTGAGACGATATTCTTGATATGGATCAGCCTTTCGGGACAAATCTCGATTTTGACACTCGGCTTATTCTCCAACAGACGATCTCGAGCCTCTCTCGAGTCGGCTGACTCGATGCACGATTTGATAGTCCTCTCGGCCGCCCCTTGGGGTGTCCTTTCACTTTTACCCCGCGATCGATCCGACCTACGCCCCTATGCACGGCTATTTGCGGGGCCCGCGTGCGGGACGGAAAAGAAGAATCTCTATATGCACGTGTGCACTGCTCCGTGACATTTCAAAGTTCATAGTTCATTATAGAAGTGCTGACGAATAATACCAACTTTTTTCCGACATCGAATAATAAGATAGATTTTTCAAATAGTTCGTATTTACTAAAGTATACCGATAGATACATACATTTTTACATTACAATAATACATTATTTAATAGCCCTTTAAATTTAAGATATTGAATTTATGAATTGACGATATTTTAAATATTTTAATAAAATAACATACTATATATGTTCCAGTGTTTTCAAAGGAAAATAATTTCCTGTAAGAAAATATTTATGAATTGACGATATATTTTAAATATTTTAATAAAATAACATACTATATATGTGTTTTCAAAGGAAAATAATTTCCTGTAAGAAAATATTTGAAATATATCACATGATACGCCTATTTTTGATACATTTGCATAATTTGCGTGTATTTTGCGTTATTTTGCGAATGATTTACATGGCAAAAATAAGAAAAAAAATTTTCTATAATTTGAGGGTATACTTTGTAAAGACGATTATGAGGCATTAACTGCATAAATAACTATTATATATCCATTTTTTGCAATCGCTTAAATTAATGCGCGCTTGATATGACAATCCGGTCATCGCCTTGATTTCAAGAATCGGGCACATGGCATCTGCATTCGAGAGCATCAAATAACAGCCGCCATTAAAAGTGTCGATACGCAATTTCCTGCGAAAACACGTCGCCGACGCCGGCGCCACATGTCGGGAAAATCGGCGGAGAAATATCGGAAAATGTCGACGAGGTCGGCAGGCGGTGTAGGCGAGGAGGCAGGACAGCGGAATGGAAGGACGCTCGTTCCAGGAACACTTCTCCCGTCCGTCGTGACCGCGTGGAAGGCAAAGAAAAAAAAGTTGCCTATTTATAAACCATTAGCGGAGAATGAAGTTTAATCAGGCTCACGACGCCCCTCGCTCTATCTCTATTTATTGCTCTCCTCGGTTGATCAATACATTAAATGTTAGGATACCGCCATCGCTGTCTTATTTGAGCCGGAAAGAATTTTGGTTAATTGCTCATAAAGACTTTTACACGGGCGCTACAAGGATTGACCTAGCTACGTTTTTTAGACAGCATAGCATTATGTTCATCCTATTTCTTTCTTTTACATGTCTTTTTTGCCGTATATTGTCCAAGAATAAAAGATCTAAACTTGGTCTTATTGTTAGCATAAAGGGTCGCTTAGTTATCTATTTGCTAATCGTAAGTAAATGCTCGTTTTTTTCCCATTATTTCCAAACGTGGATATTTCAGGAAGACTATCTTGGTGTCTCAACCTAAAACAGGTGTCTCTATTTAAAAGAAAGGGGGACGATGTGCGATCCGTGATTTATTGCTAAATATATCCGATATCTCCCCCATGAGAATGTTGCATTCTATACATTAAACAAGTAAGATTCCAAATAACTGTTGAAACAAATTAATCAATCCCGGTTAATTAATAATAATTTAAAAATATAATAAAGTATAGTAAAAAGGAAATTAATTACGGAGAAAATTATTTACCGACTTATAAAATGAAAATTGTAATTCGATGATGATTAAAATTACGACACACAATGTATATATCTTTTCGCCTTTATGTCTGTCATTTTAAAATTTCGAAGCAATGCATTTCTTTCTTTATTATTTCACTTTTTCTATAATATAAGAATGAGAGGAAAGAATCAAGTTAAATATAAATTACGTTATATATCGCTATAAATTATGTCACGTTAGGCTATATTTGTATTTGATCCCAGCCGTGTTTAACTTATATTTAGACGCTAGCGTGATATAAAATGGTGTTCTCTGTTAATTTCAATTATCATTAACTTCATGTTATTAACTTCGTGTTATGTGTACTGTATATAAACGAGAGTATAAAAATAGGGATAGTTTTAACAAGCTGAATCCATTTACATAACGAATCTGTAAATTGTGAAAATAGCATGCTACTATCTAATTAAAATTTATATAGGATAGAAACTCGCATTTTCACGCTCTTATATAAGATTATTTAAAATATGAAAGATCTTATTCTTCTTGTTCTAAATTGTTACAAATGTACTGAAGCAGGATATTAATTTAAAAAAATAGTAAACATGAAATAATTTTAAAAAAACTGCGCATTTTTAACTTTCGATTAAGATTCACGATCATTCGATCGTTTAAAAAGATCAAGTTTACACAATTAAATATCATATGCTTATAAATACAAACAAAAAACTTCTAGTATGTAAAGACATATATGTTTATGGGAACTCTGCACACACATGCACAAACAACATTACACCTACATCATATCTCTTTGCTCGCTGAATTGATTAATGATTGTTGTTAATGTCAATGTCAACGATGTGATATGTTTTTAAGATAATGCTTGTTAGATTCAGTTTGCATATTAAATTTAAAATATT